TCCCATTTCCTGATGGCTTCTCTTCTTTTCAACGTAAGCTTACCACCACGGGAAGAATCCTCAAAGAACTCCCTTACCAGATTCCCGACGCAGTTACCAGGATGCCGCATTGGCTTAAGCTTTTTAACATCCGGCTTCTTGATCTCATAAGCAGCATAAATAACTACGGTGACTGGATAGGCAACTTCGTAGAACAGCATGCCGATGCCCACCAACGCTCCGGGGCGGGTGTGCTTGTTTAAGACAAACAGGTTCTGCTTACCAGACGCCCGGATAGGATTACGGCCTCTATCTATTACCCAGTCACCATCTAAATACTTTATTAACGTTAATTCCAACGGTAGTTGCCTTCGGGCATTAAGTCGATTATCTTTTCAGCCCTTGCGTCGTCCATAGTCTCGTCCGTATCTCCTTCCATAAATGTCGTGAAGGCGAAGTCGGCGTCCAAACGATCCAATACCTGGGTTCGCAGCTTGCGTACAGTTTTGTTTTGAATGCTTTGGATGGCGTCCATCTATATCTAGGAAATATTTTAACCTTTGTTTGCGACACAAATATTTTAACTTAATACATAGATTTCGCAAACACAGCAGCAGTAAGGCAATCATCGCGCAACGTGGGTAATACCCGCTGCGGACGCTTAGTGTTTAACCCAGGTAATATCCGGGCCTCCCGGTACCCCCTCCGCGAGTCCCCCTTACTGCTGCTAATGCACTTATGTCAAAAAAATTATTGACTAGGGGCGGGACTGTGTATCACGTGTCGCGCAAATTAATGTCTACACGTGTCCTTTTTGTTGGTTGCTGAAATCTATGGCTTGTTGAAGTTAGAAATTAATCGGGCAGAAAAGCAAAATAAGTGTATTTTGTAAAATAAGTAAAAGAATTCGAAAATGCTGTGAAAGGATTACCTTTATTTGTTTTCGAAACTCGAATTTTGATTTAGCTACTCAAAGCATTATCCTTTGCTGGAAGAGTGGAAATTTAGTAGTGCTTACCGGTCATTGGAAAATGGCTTAAATATTTATTTCGTCAGTAGATATTAATAGAGTTTAAGACTTTGAATTTGCTATGCGTGAGTCTTCAAGGAATTTAATTCAAAAGGTACTTGTTAAGTCTCATTCCAGTTCACAAATTCTGATATTAATTAGCACCATATTTGAACATAGAAAGTTTCATTGCTGTGTTGCAAGTATTCCCGAGAGAGTCAAAAGACAAAAACATGGCGGCCATGCTGGTGATGTTAACAAAGGAGTCTCATAAAAATCTTTTGTTAAATGGCCAACGCTCTCCCTAGAGGCCGCGATGACGCAACGTGTTTTTGAAGAATATAAAGGAAGATTCTCGCTGATGCTATACACCGGATGTCCGTATGGCGGAACGCTCGAAAAAAACTGGGGCGAGTGCACGAAATGGAGGCTAGTAAGGAAAGGTTTCCCGGTTGTTTTGAAGTTGTACATGATTACTTGTCAAGTAACAGAGAACAATATTCCGGGATCTTCCCTTTGTGGAAGAGATCCAGCGTCTTTAAAAAATCAAGAATTGAAATCCTAGCTTCAATGTAGAGGAGATTCACTAAAGGAACTTAAAACAAAGGCTGCTTTAGTTAAAAGCTAGGTGAGAGACGGATTCCAATTCGCGGTCGCCATTAACTCGCGCTTGTTTAAAAAAATAACCACGCAGAGCGAAAGAAGTGCTATTTCTCAATGATCGGGTAAAATTTCGAGGCTTTAGTGGCAAGTTTCAATGATTTTATTGAAATTTTTGATGGATCCCATACATTTCCTTATAACATGACATCACAGAAACCAAGCTTGGGCTACCTGTGAACTGACCACGGAAGTTTCAACGGAATACCACCATCAACTACATGAATTCGGCCATTCAATGATTTTCTCAGTCTTCAGATCTGAAGTGAAGAGAACAGACCTTTGTAGAGCTAGTAATTTTGAAGTTTTTTTCTTCCTCGCGGCGAATGGCTCGGATCCATTGTTTTCTTTTCAGAGCCAAGATTGGAAGTGAAAAATATGACACTTTTTCACCAGTTGGCGTTGTAAAACCCTGTTGGTTGCATTGAGGGACACAACCACTTGTAGGCATGTCGATTACAAGTAGATATTGAGAAATCTAACGGAGACAGAGACAATTTTTAAGGCAAATTATTAGACTGGTTTTTGATCGAAAGTTCAAGTATTTTGATCAGTCTCTTTACTAGCCTCGATTTCGTGCACTCGCCCCAGTTTTCCCGAGCGTTCCGCCATACTGACATCCGGTGTATGTACTGATCTTTTTCAATTATTCATAAATTAGCTGTATTTCCATTCTTTAGTGGTGACTTTGTCAATGCATTGCTACTCGTATTAATTCCGTAATTAATTTTGAAAATGCATGCCTGCTTGCTTTTAACATGGGTTCCTCGTTCTGGATATTTTTTGTGTGTGTGTGAAAATGATTGACTGCATTTTCCATGTTGTCGTTACTAATTAGATAAACGCTATCTATCTAGATCTTTTCAGGAAAAAGTGATGATACCAACAATCAAGAGATAGATGCCATGGTTTTCCGGTCTGTTCCTATCATCTTACGATTTATCTATACAGTCCCAATGTATAAAAAGAGAATCCAATCCATTGAGTCAGATTTCAATGTCACAATTAATGTAATCGATGATGGATTAAAAGTGGCAATCAGCCCATTGCCAGGATGCACACGAAGGAAACATGATGATGCTTGTGAGGAGTACTTTGTACTCTACAGAGAGGTCTATGACGGACCAATGATGTCTAAATATATCATTCTCACACCAGCGTTATCGGTAAAAGAGGCCGCAATAAAACAGTTGCGAATGGAAACAGTTGCTATCCAAGCAATAGACGTTCCAGATGATGAGTTGCCGTTTTACGGGAAGGAGGCGAATGTAAGGTCTGCAATCAATGCAGTATGCAATAAGACGTTAAAAAATGATTATCCCTGTTGTCCGCTTCAAATTCGAGAACTTCGAAAACTTTACTTGCGCTTAGGAAACGTACAGCATGTTCAAGGCAAGGATGAGAATCATTATATCGGTAAGTTCGTCAAATGAGCTAGCCCTATCCATAACAACACTATATAGTAAAAATATTAAGCAAACGATAGATGGATTCAATAGTCATGCTGCTTGGCATTAAAAAAAAAAGTAGTAATTATAATAATAATAATAATAATAATAATAATAATAATACATGTAATAATAAGTATATGTAATAGGACTCCATGCTGTCCAATTAAGAAATAATTGGACGAGGAAAATTCCGAGGACTGACAAAATTGGATGAGGCC